AATCCTCCTGCCTCAGCCTTCCGAGTAGCTGGGACTACAGACCTGTGCCACCATGCCCGGCTAATTTTTTCTATATATTTTTAGTTGCCCAGATAATTTCTTTCTATTTTTTAGTAGAGATGGGGGTCTTGCTCTTGCTCAGGCTCCTGACCTCTCGCGATCCTCCCACCTCGGCCTCCCAGAGTGCTAGGATTACAGGCGTGAGCCAACGTGCGGCCAAGAAAAGACAAGATAAACCAGTTTTAAAGCCAACAGCTATTAAAATGGATAAGAGCCGAAAGATACTGATGAGATGGAGAAAAAGCGAGATTTCTTCTCTCGATCAGAAAAAAAAAGAAAGGTGATTATAAACTGTAAGATAGACAAAAATATCTTATAAGAAAGTCATGGCCCAAATATGAAACAAACTAAAATATAGCATGATTTAAGTAAGAAAGGATGTTCCATTTGCAACATGCTCCTGAAGGGACACGGGAGAAGATGCTGGATCCGTAGAGAAAGACATTGTGACCCATCGAAGCGAACGATGTTTCCACAGTCACAGTGTTGTGAGTGCTGTTAATTGGCTTCTCAGTTTTTAGAATCCACTTACAGGTAAAACAGGGAAGACAAATATGTTTTCAGAAGAGGAATGGAAATGTAATGAATCTCAACGAGCAAAGTGGACAGTTGCGAATTGGAAGTGGGGAGGGGGAGCATGGAGGGGTCTCTCGGGCTCTGCTATGGTAAGACGTCCCGATGCACAACATTGGCGAGCGAGTGAGCTGAAGTTTTCAGTTTATTACTGAAGTTACAAATTTGGATAACTAATGGAAGAAGAACGTAGCTATCAAAAATCCTGGAAGGACTGGAAAGGGGAGGGGAAGTGATAGCAGCTAAATAATTTTTCGGGCTAAGCAGTCTAAAGAAATAGCAACGTGAGTTCGGAAGGTAATTGCCGAATTACAGAAAGATGTGGTTAAAGCCTCGGGGAAGTGGTACCAGAAGTGAGCAGAGGGGAGGTGGAGACATACTTTTATAGCATATAGGAGATTGCTTTGGTAAAAAAGCTGGGCAGTGGCACCTGTCCTCCCAGTGATGCACATGGGAGGCTGAGGCGGGAGGATCACTTGAGCCCAGTTCAAGGCTGCAGTGAGCTATGATCTCACCAGTGTACTCCTGCCTGGGTGACAGAACAAGAACCTGTCTCTAAAAAAAAAAAGAAGAAGAAGAAAAGAAAAGAAATGAAAAAAAAAAGCTGTATTGACCAACAACAAAATTTATTCAAAGGAGCAACATGACAATCAGACATCCCAATGGTTTCTAGTTGTCTAGTTTTTGACATCTTAGGTAAAGAAACACTTCAGTGATGGGAAAATATTACCTGTAATTGCGGATATTTTATTACCTAAATGTTAAAATGTAGCCTGTAACCATTTTAAATGTTCCTAAATTTGCCCTTATGGGGGAGGGGGTAACTCAACTCTGGTATAGACAATCAATTGCCATTTTTGTTAAAAGACATCTTGGACTTTTTTTTTTTGAGGTTAAAAATAAATGAACTGCTTTGAGGTTCTTCTAAAAGATTTAAGATTCCTGGAATAATCTAAAACTTACTCTATTTAATACAACAGTTGAACTCATTCCTTGTGCAAAATTTTTACTTATTTTTTCCACATAAGAACACACCTCTGATTTTATAATGCCAGTCATTAAAAATAACAATTACTACATTAGCGTTGGACATATCCATCTCCAAGGTCCAGGTAGCCAAGCTCCAGGGTCACGCCCTACAAGGTTGTGCAGGTGTGGTACTCCCAGGCTGCTGACCCGATGTGGACAGCGCGGTGTGGGGGACAGAGGGGTGCTGCCATGCAATGCCACATGGCAATGTCTGCAGTGCCATCCTGTGGTCGTGATGCTAAATTAGAGCATGTCTTCGTTTTCTTCTCTCTAGGAAGGCCCTTTTGTCTACTTGTCGTTAGTAGGAAGCGTTGCAAATTCTGATGGCTTGATTGCTTCTTTATGTAAGTAATTAAAAACATTTGCATTTGAAATGTTTGAGATTAATTGCAAGTGTGGCTGTCGATTGAATGAATGCCTGTATCACATGTATGATTTCACTTATGTGAAATGTCCAGAGTAGGTAAATCTGTAGAGGCATAATAGCTTAGTGGTTGCCCAGGGCTGGGTGTGGGCTAGAGGCGTTGGGGAGAAATGGGGAGTGACTGCTCATGGGTACAGGTTTCTTTTGTTGGGGGAGGGGTAATAGAATGTTCTTAAGTTAGATTGTTGTGATTCAAATCTTTGAATATACTAAAACCCATTCTTTAAACAGGTAAGTTGTATGGCATGTGAATTTCATGTCAGTAAAGCTATACATAGTATTTAAAAATGTTTGTATTAAGTGCAGATTGAAGAGCTTGCAGCATGTAAACTGGGTATTTTTTTCATACTTTTTAATATCAACTTTCTTTTTATTTTACATATATGTCTGCACTCTTGTAGATAATTTCTAAAATGTTTCCTGCTCTTCAGAGATATAGTTAATATCTAGATCTAGTTAAGTTTTCCCCGTCTTCTTCATGCTCATTTTTTTTTTTTAAAAGACAGAGTCTTGCTCTGCTGCCTGGGCTAGAGTGCCGTGGCATCAACCTAGCTCACAGCAACCTCCAACTCCTGGGGTCAAGCGATCCTCCTGCCTCAGTCTCCCCAGTAGCTGGGAGTACAGGCTTGTGCCATCATGCCCGGCTAATTTTTTTTCTATTTTTAGTTGTCCTCCTGCTTTGGCCTCCCAGAGTGCTAGGATTAACAGGTGTGAGCCACCATGGCTGGCCCATGCTCATTATTAATCAATCAATATTTAATCAATTAGTATCAACTACCTACCATGTACTGTGTCAATACTGACAAATAAATGAGCCATGCAGCAGTGTCCTTTGCCACTTTTTTTGGGGGGTAGAGATGGGGTCTCACTATGTTGCTCAGCTGGTCTCGAACTCCTGGCCTCAAGCGATCCTCTTACCTTAGCCTCCCAAAATGCTGGGATTACAGGCATGAGCTGCACGTCCTTGGCCATTTGCCACTTTTATAAAACTGCCTTGCTCAGGATAACTGCTTTCAGATTTTGCTTCTGAAATTTTGCATTGTTTGTCTCATTTCTTTCATGACTCTAAAATCTCATCTCCTCCAACCAGGATCTGCGTGGGGACTCCTGTTCACCACTAGTATTAGGAAACTTCTAGAGGATTGAATCAGCTTCAGTCAGTGCTTTTTGAAACAAAATGAGTGTCATTTTTGATGCCTCAGGTCCTAGCCAGTGATCTAGGGAGTCTATAGTCCAGACTCTCTCCTGTCCCTCCTCTCCCCGTTGTCCCTTCAGCACTCAATTTCTCTTCAGTTATTAATAAATATGTTTTTTTGGCCGGGCACAGTGGCTCACACCTGTAATCCCAGCATTTGGGGAGGCCAAGGTGGGAGGATCGCTTGAGGCCAGAAGTTTGAGACTAGCCTAGGCAACATAGCGAAACTTCATCTCTACAAAAAATAGAAAATTAGCCGGATGTGGTGGCAGTCCCAGCAGCTTGGGAGGCTAAGGCAGGAGGATTGCTTGAGCCTAGGAGTTTGAGGTTGCTGTGAGCTATGATGATGCCACTGCACTCTAGCCTGGGCAACAGAATGAGACCCCATCTCTAAAAATATAAATAAATAAAATAAACATGTTTTTCATAAACATTTCCTTAATAATAATATTTCCCACATCTAAATTATACTTACAGATTTTATAATGAAATTTTGAAGTAAGGAATTACAATGCATTTACCGAGATCATCAGTTTTGAGTTCTTTTTTAATTTTAGAGATGGGGTCTCTGTTGCCCCAGCTGGAGTGCAGTGGCACAACTAAAATCATTACTAAAGATTATCTTTGCAAAATCTGACTATGTTGAATTAACTTAGAATTTTGCTTTTATAATGAACAGGGCAGGGATGAGGGAGGGTGTATATGCGAAATCACTTTGGAAACTCTAAGTGATTGTATAAGTAAACCTCATATTATTCTTACTGCTCTGTCAGGTGGTGAATGCATTTCAGTCCCAAGGCTTCTCCTTAACTTCCACTAAGGTATTGTGAAGAATGGAGAGAGAGATGATCCTATCTCCTCCTTAAAGGAAAAAAGGTCATTTCCATTGACTGTCACAAAAATGGTTGCCATTTAAGTAACTACGTGGATCTTGTCTTTAGGGAAAGAATATGGCAAAGCCGATGCAAGATGGCTTCATTTTGATCCAACCATTGTGTCTGTGGAAATTCTGACCGCCGTCCTGGATGGATTTCTGGCATTGTTCCTCATTTATGCCATAGTCAAAGAGAAACATTATCGGTAAGTGCATTTCTATCCTGCTGGAAAGAGGGGAAACATTAGCTGTCCCAACACCAAAGTGACATTTGGAGTAGGTCATTTATTTGTTAGATAAATAAATGGTAGAGTAGAAATGAAAATTGTTTGATATTAGATAAGGATCATAGCAACACCAGGATAATTTCAGACTTTTCAGAATCAAAATTATGAGAAATATGATTTTAGTAGCAGCCTAGTCACTGTGTTAACACCATTGGATGATTTGCCACCAACATTTTGGAGAATGAAAGGGTAATATTTCCATCCTTTTTTTCCAAAATCACTCTAGAAAATTCCTATGCCACTTGACACAAAGTGAATTCACTTATATAATTCTGAGCTAGACATGCAAGATAAATAAGAAATCTTTTCAGAAGCAGACTGTGGAGGGTACAGGGCAGGCAGAGGGTGGGGAGAAGGAGAAAGATGAAAAATGAACCATCCTATCAGTCAGACTCTGAGAGACTCTAAACTCTCCTCCCTCCCTTCTCTTTCCTCTCCTTCTTAGGGACAAAGTGACGTGAGGTAAATAGATTACTATCCTAGGGGTGATTCCTTAAAACGTCTAGTGGGCTCAACTGCATTCAGTTTTCACTATCTTGTTTTGAAGAAGTCTTTTTTAAAGCTTCATTCTAAAACCCCAGATCTAAGCCGGGTGTGGTGGTACACATCTGTAGTCCCAGCTACTCAGGAGGCTGAGGCAGGAGGATCGCTTGAGCCCAGGAGTTCGAGGCTGAATAGTGCACTAGCATTGTGCCTGTGACTAGCCACTGCACTCCAGCCTGGGCAACACAGCAAGACCTTGTCTGTTTAAAAAAACTCTCAAATTTGAAAGAGGCCTCAAAGGTCATTTAACCCACTTTCCCTACTCAATTTTATAGAGACAGTTGGCCATAAAAATTAAATTTCTCTTTGGTGCCTTGACATATTTTTGGCTCCGTGACCATGGATGTAGATTTATGACATGCACCTGTGTGTTTATTATTGCAAACATTTGTAATATTTGTATTGTTGAGCATTTCCTGTGTGCCAGGCACAGTGCTTGGTCCTTTACCTACATATCTCATTTAATCTCCGCGAAACTCTTTGAGGAAGGTGCTATTATTATCTCCTTTTACAATGGGTGAAATTGTAGCTCGTGAAAGATTTATATTCACGTCTCTCTTTGCTGGTTCAGGTGTAACCTTACTAAATCTTCCCAAGAATAGGCCAGGATACCTGAGAGTCCTTATTTAACTCTAAGAATAATCTTCTAGAAAGGGCAATGTTGCTTCTCCGAAGAAAGAATGAGTCTTCATGACTAGCCCCATGGAAGGAGCAATACATGACACCCGAGGTCCCGCTTCAGAGAGGTTTTCTGTAGTGAAGACTGTGTTGATGCTGCCTCTAAAGAAAAGATGTCGTGGTTCAGAGTGCCAGGCTGTGCCAAGCTCACAGTTTCATGCCTGGCTTCCTTCTCTCTAACAGACATTTCCTGCAGATCACCCTGTGCGTGTGCGAACTGTATGGCGACTGGATGACCTTCTGCCCGGAGTGGCTTGTTGGAAGCCCCAACCTCAACACCAGCAACTTGCTCTACTGTTGGGTCTACCTGGTATTTTTCAATGGAGTGTGGGTTCTGATCCCCGGACTGTTACTGTGGCAGTCGTGGGTGGAACTCAAGAAAATACATCAGAAAGGAACCAGTTCAGGGAAAAAGTTTCAGTGAATTTTCAAAATCATAAACACTGTTATCTTGCTTTATGAGCCAGAATGGATCAAACGTTTTGTTTGGCCAAAATGTAATACATTCCAGTCTACACTTTCCTTTTATATTGCTGTTCCTGAACAACCTGTTTCGAATTGATTATAAGGTCGCAAGTTTTCATTGTTTGTCTTTGTTATTGTTTTTTCCAAGTGAATGGCAATGTAGGGAAGAGAACAGATTTTAACCTGTAATAATAACACGTTTAATTGAACGTTTTTATGGCTGGCAGTAATTGTTCTACATTAGTAAAGCCAATTACCATACAATACTGCGCAGAGTACTATATTAATTTTTTTATCCTAAAGAACATGATGTTGGTTCGTCTTGTAATTTTCTCACTAATCTTTTTTGGTTACCGATGTGAAACCAGAAATGAAATGAATGCTTCTATTTTATATTTATATTTTTTCAAATTTGTGAACTCAACAAAAAGTAATAGTAGTAGAAACTTGTGAGTGGGCTAACTCCTCGAGGGTAAATGTTGGGGTCCCCACAGGGATAGATGATTGATTTATATCTGTCCTTTTTTTTTTTTTTTTGAGACAGAGTCTCACTCTACTGCCCTGAGTAGAGTGCTATGGCATCAGCCTAGCTCACAGCAACCTCAAACTCCTGGGCTCAAGTGATCCCCCTGCCTCCCAAGTAGCTGGGAGTACAGGCATGAAGCCCCCATGCCCGACTAATTTTTTTTCTATATTTTTAGTTGTCCATCTAATTTCTTTCTATTTTTAGTAGAGACGGGGTCTTGCTCTTGCTCAGGCTCGTCTTGAACTCCTGAGCTCAAACGATCCTCCTGCCTCAGCCTCCCAGAGTGCTAGGATTACAGGCGTGAGCCACCACACCTGGCCCAAAGTGGCAGCATTATTCAAAATAACCCCAAACTGGAAACAATCTAAACGAGCAAATTATGGTATGTATATGCAGTGGACCACTCTACAGCAATGAAAACTAACAAACTTCTGCTACTCATGATGGCACACATGAATTTCACAGACGTAATGATAAACGAAAGAAGCCAGACCGAAAGAATACATATTCTATGAGTCTATTTATAAAGTTCAAAAACGCAAAAGTAATTGATAGCGTTAGAAATCAGGATAGAGGTTGCGTTTGGAGAAGAAGGTGGGTGTAGTGGCGGGGAGAACTCGTGAAGGGGTTTCTGAGAGAGGCCGACAATGCTCTGTCCTTCCATTGGGTGGTAGTTACAGGTTGTGATAACACATTTGGCTGTACACTTTGTAAGTTGGGTAGTTTTTGGTATATATGTTATAGTTGAATTTTTAAAGTTTATTTTAAAAAGTTTCGTTTTTGGTATGAAGGCCTGAGAAATGTCTGCAGTGGGTCCTGGTGAAGACCCCTTCTGTGTCCCTGACAACAGATTCAGTGCCACTCGGGCTGTCCCTGACGCGGGCCAGCGCGGGCGCTGGCGGGAGAGCGTGCAAGCCTCTGCACGGGGGATTACCCGTGTGTTTCCAGTGCTCTGCTCTCTGCTGATCTGGCTCCATCCGAGGGGAAACAGAGTAGAGCAAAACGGACGGGCTGCAGATCCTGCCGGCAGCCCTGGAAACACGATTTCTCTCCATTGAGTTTTTGCTGAGTATTGAATGGGAGAGAAATGGGGATTACAGACTCTGACAGGGACTTGGAGTACTGATGCGCTCAGCTGCCAAGTACGGACGGATCTAAGTGTTTTCACAATTCAGTGAATCGGAAGGAGGGTTGGGCTCCCCATGTGGCAGTTAAGGAGTCACGGGTCACCCAAGCTGACGCAGGGAATGCCATATTTCATTGATTCTAAGATCCTCCCCCCCACTTTTGAACATTTTAAAAATTAGGAATACAGCTGACGTGTCATAATTTGGTTGGCAGTGATTGATTTTTTTCAGTAATACAGTACATCATATGCTTCACGGCATCTTAGATTCAATGAAATAAGGCACTACCTTCAATGTTGTTCCCCTCGTTAAGCTTCAATATCTCTAACTACTTGGAGTTGATAGATAATTGGAATTTATTTTTGAAGTCTAAATTTTGCTTGGGATCTTAGGGACCAATTACCCCAGTGCCTTCTATCACCTCTCTGTCACATTTGTTGCCTGGGGGAGCCAGCCATAGAAAGCACCCTTTAATGAATATGTAAAATGATTTACAGTGGGTCATGCATGGCTTATATTGTAGGGGGCGAGATTTCTGCAAACTATCCATCTCTCCTGCTATGGTTTGAATGTGTCCCCTAAAAAGCATACACTGGAAACTTTCCCAATGCAACTGTGTTGAGAGGTGGGACCTTGAAGAGGTGATTAGGTCATGAGGGCTCTGCTCATGAGTGGATTAATGCCATTATCACTGAGTGAGTTAGTTACCTCAGTGGAGTGGGTTCCTGGTAAAAGGGTGAGTGTGGCTCCCTTTCTCTCTCTCTCTCTCTTTCTCTCGTATGTTCTCTTTTGCCCTTCCACCCTTCTGCCATGGGATGGCACAGCAAGAAGGCCCTTGACAGGTGCAGCCCCTCATTCTTGGACTTCCCAGCCTCCAGAACCGTGAGCCAAATACATTTCTGCTGCTTATAAATTACCCAGTCACAAATATTCTGTTGTAGCAGCACAAAACAGATAAAGATACCTCCCCAGTATTATTTATACTGTAGATACTCTTTGCAAACTCTTCCTTTCCAGATAAGGTTGAGGCAAATTATCAGCATAACCCATTTAAAAGAGTCTAAATGATGAAGCTTCCTTGTATTTAATTATGTCCAGCTCTACAACTCCTGAAGTACTTACTATGATAGTACTGCGGCTCCAAGAAAAGTCTGTGGATTGCAATATGAAAATAGTAAAAGAAAACTTTGTCAAAGAACGGCTTGATGGAAACCAAAGTGAAAAAGTTTAGAGAAGAATCTCTTGTTTTTCTTTATTTTAAAATTACTATTAAAATCCATGTGCCCTTTTTTTGTTTGATATGAAGGCTGGAGTTTGACTCTAATGAGAAGTTATTTATGAAGAGAATAACTGGGCAAAGCCTTGCGTGAAAGAGGTTAACTGTTGCTATCCTTAATTTTAATTGAAGCCGGGCACAGTGATACGTACACCTGTAGTCTCAATTACTTGGGAGTCTAAGATGGGAGGATTGATTGAGCCCATGAGTTTGAGACCAGCCTGGGCAACATAGTGAGACCCCATTTCTAAAATAATGATAATACAATAATAATAATAAATGCCCTCAGGGTAATAGGTTGCACCTGGCAGGGCTAATGTGAGCCAACCTCCGCTACCACTTCCATTTTGGAGGCTGTACACCTTCTCTTTCCCCTTTCCACTGCCTGAACATCTGAGACCCCAGCTAACAAAATTCACTTCTTACCACCACTTCACCGTAGAAGACAAATCACATCCATTAATTAACATTAAGGCATTAACAACTGATAATAATGTGAGGTATTACCCTTCCTGAATGTATTTGTATTAAAAAATTTATTACACTGTTGACATATTTATTGCTGAAAAATGAAAAATTCAGATGAGCAAAAAATAGTAATAATAATCACCCCCAGTATCATTAGAAAGAACCACTATTAAAAATTTAGTTTTTATTTTTCAAACTGCATGTTACACTGTGTGTGTATTAACATTTTGGGGAGATTCCTAAAGAAAGACTTTAACACTCCCTTTCTTCCTCTCTCTCTCTCTTGCCCTAAACTTATCATCAGGAAGTGGTAGTTCTACATGTAACGCCAAACAGACTGTGGATAGTGTTACAGAAAATGCCTATTCTTGATAAATTCATGCGCTTAAAGAGGTGGATAGGTAGCAGTTATCATTTGTTTTTGGAAACCAGTTTCCTTAGATGACTATATTGGTACAGGTCAAATTGACATCTTAAAATATTTGATCGGCCACCTCCCAGCTCTTAAAGGGATCAGGTATGTTGATCGTGATGTAGCAGTCAGTCCTGGGTGCTTAATCCCTTCTCATCCAGAAGTCTTCCCTCAGTCTCCTTAGAAGTCAGGAGGAAGGGACTCTGAATTCTCAAAGGCCTCGTCTGTGTCACTAAAATATCCCTGGGTGGCGTTCCATTGTAATTTTGGTACATTCCATGTTCCCAGCTGTACAGGAGCCTCTCTCAGCCACACGTAGAATCCTGGAATCTTGTACTGCTGAAAGGCATCTTGGAGAGGTTGTGTTTATACACAAGGACACTGAGGTGCACAGGGGTCAGTCAGTGAGTGAGCTGGGACCCAGTTCACTTAAAACTGGGTCTTTCTATGCCAACAGCGAGTCTCAAACTGAGCATTAGACATGTTTCCAGGAGCCTAGAGATTGTGAAAATTATTCAATTTGGGGGATTTTTTCATGCTCTAAAAAAATCAACCTAAGCACATGTCTGACCATCTGGGTCTATTCATTATACTTGAATAGCCACTCAATTTCATTGTTTGATTTTGTGTCTATGAATGGTCCTGTTTGTATTTTTTACTGGGTTGGACCGAGTGGCCAAGTGACAGCCATTACCCATGTGTAATGCAGGGGTTTTTCCAGGGGCAGAGGCGGCAAATGGAGGACGTGCTCTTGGGGGTCCTGCTTTTGCAAATTTGAGCAACTCTACTACACACTGCTTCATGTTCTCCATGACGGTGTGTGGATGATGCATTCTAATGAAACGTCTTTGCCTCTCACTTCTGATTCATAGTATTGTGTTGAGAGTGCAGGTGAGCAGATCTTTAGCATTTTTTGTTGTGTTTTAAGTCAGACTGATTTCAGCCACTGGAGGTGGCATCTAACTAGTAAGAACTGGAAGCAGGAAATGGATTTCACGGGACAGCCTTTGAGCACCCATGGTTTGAACGGATCTCTCCATAAATGCCGTCCCTGTCCTGAGATCTGACTACAAATATGCATGTTCCCTGTAACAGTGACATCTGGTGGCCCTGAGGTAATAGGACAGCAGTCTGGTGGCTGATACGTGGCTTTTGATGGGATGACCTTATTCTGTTAATATATATTAATAATAAAGCAGTTCTGGCTGTCATCACCACAGGAGCCACTGCCCTTTCCCCGGAGTCTCCCTCCAGTGACATATTCCCCTCTAGTCACCCAGTTAACACTTTTGGCCCCAGAGCCTGCAGCAGTGAGCCTGCTTCCTCTGGGCACCCTCTCCCAGCCCAGAAGCCCCTAGCGGGAGGCAGGCCATTGCGAGCTGCCTGGGTGAGAAGTG